AGGTTTCCTGTCTCATTACCAATGCTGATTTCTCCACACCTACTACCTCTCTGCATATCACACCTAATCCAATCACACCTGCTATTGTCATTTGCCATCTGATATCACTCCACTTTCCAATATATAGGACAGATGGACTCACATTCTAGCTGCATCTGAAGAAGTGAGCGGTAACTCACGAAAGCTCAAAACCTACCACATTTTTTTTTAGTGTTTAAGATACTACTGGACTAATTTCTACAGAGTCACAGAGTACTTTCCTTTCCCTGTTTAGGTTTCCTTTCATTTATAAGGTATCAATCTAGTGCCATTTTCACTAAAAGTAATACCAGATTTAATTAATCATGAAAAAATTTACAATGACCCCATGCATTTGGGGAAAGCTTTTGAATGTTTCTCTCCCACATCCTGAAACTTCCTTCCTAATCATTAGGCTGTGACTTAGAGCTGTTCATATCACAGTAGGGATGACTTAAGCTCTGTGTAGCAATGTTGCAGATGTGTATAGGAACAACCTCATAAGAAGAGCTTCACATCTTTTCCAGTTTGCCAGTTTTCTGTATGAGATGAGTTCCTGCGCATCACTTGCCAGTCAGGTAGGTATAGCTTTGTCTTAATAAGGCCGAGTTTGAAGCTGTAGCTCCCTACACACAACTTTTCTGTCTGTTGTTCTATCCAATAACACTTGTCTCATCCACTATGCATCCCTCTGGCTTCTCACACTGGCAATCCCTCCATCCAGGTTAGGGAGCCACCCGCAGACTCCATTTGTCTCTTGCTTCAGCTGAACTATGTAGCTCCAGGCTTCATCAGAATCAAGCCACCTCCAGCTCAGACAAGCCATGTACTTGGTCATTTGCTCTCACCACTTCCCAGTATCCATTGATTCTTTAGAATTCTGGCACAGGGTGGTGGGCAAAACAAAAAGGCCACTGCAGGAAGTGGCGCCAACCATAAAATGGCTGCCACAAGGGGGAGCCAACCACAAAATGCCAGGGATTGACATAATCTTTAACTCTAATAACTCTAATAGTAACTCTTCAGCATTTCAGGGTGAAGCTCTGCTTAACAGGAAGCCTTTTTAAATGAATATATTGTTTAGCAATATTTTCTTGCATACACACAGCTTACCTTCAGTCATGTTGTGAAGAAGATCCATATGCTGTGGTGGCAGGTGCTGCCAAAGCAACTTTTTAAAAATCTGCACAGCCAGTCAGATCTCCACCAGCTAATCAGAAGCCATGCTGGGCAAAAATAACCCATCCAGCCTCACCTACTTTCTAAAAACATTTGGCAGGTGCCAGGCAAGGTCTCAGCAGGCACTGTGGCACCCACAGGTATTACACTGAGGAACCCTGCCTTGGCCATTACTGGCGTGGCTTTTCTATGCTTGCCAAGCAAGGGTAGGAAGGTGGTGGCATGCAACATTTTCTTCTGGCCTGGCTGTTTATACTATGGAGTTGATGCCTGGCATTAGCAGCCCCTTCCCCCCACATTCTATATGCACTCAAATGCTTTTATCTGGGACACAAGTTAATAATAGGGTGTGCATTTGGATCTACCCGAGCCAAAAATATACCCCCTCCAAAACCTTATCGGTATTTTTTGGGTATATATTGGCTTCTCAAATGTATCTGGGTTTTCTCAAGGGGAGGGGGAAAGTTCAGAGAAAAACCTGGATATAATCAGGAATTACCAGTAGATCCGAAAACAGCGGAGAGGCAGGAGCAAATTGCTCCTACCTCTCAGCTGTTTGTCAGGCTTCTACTGCAGTGCCTTTAAATTTAAACAGACTGCAGAAGACAGGCTGAGGATCAGCTGTGCCAGGTGGAGCAGACTGTTCCTGCCGACTCGGCTTGGGGCAGGCTTCTCATGCACCTCAGTTTAAACCGGGCTGCAAGCAATGCTCCCTCTAAGCTGTGGAGTCTTGTGAGCAAAAATTCTACCTTGCGAGCTACTGGCATTACAGTTGTGAGCGAGTGATTTGGCTACTGCATAAATTAGTTTGCTCTGGAGCCCTCCCTCCTGAGCCAAGACAAAAATGCGTGAGCCAGAGGCTAAAAAACTGTGAGCTAGCTCACACGAACTCAGCTTAGAGGGAACACTGGCTGCAAGAGAAGCCAGCCCCAAAAGCTGCTTGGCCTCAGGGAGCAATCTGCTAGCTGTGGCAAAGCAGATCCTGGGGCCAGCTTCTCCTGCAGCACAGATTAAACTGTGCTGCAGGAGAAGCCAAACTGGCATTTTTCTTCTCAGGTCTATTGGACCCGAAAAACTTGGGATTTCAGAAAAATCCCAGATCCAGATACCATACTGATTTTTTAAAATTGTGAATAAGAAGAGCTGGGGTCCTGGCAATTCTACACATAATTTCTACTGGTTGAAAGCTTGCAGGCTGATTGGTCTTTCACTCAGACCTCTCAGATACTTGCCCCTGATCAGATACAACTAGAAAGAATAAATTCCACCTTTTAGCAATATTTGAAATAATAATGTATACTTTCTAGACTTTGTCAGAAATGTCAGGAAAAAGCATACCTATTATTTGCACTACTTATCTTATCTCTTTGATAATACAATTCACTCGCACAAGAGACACTACTTTAAATGGGCACCTGAGGTTCTGTAGGTATGTCCAAGGACCAGTGGATTTTTTCCTTTTCCCATTTGAAAGGCAAATACACACACAGCCATGCCACACTGCAAACCACTTAGGATAAAAATACCTTTATTTTGTGTTACAAACAGGGGTGCCATCCTCCAGGTGAGGTCTCAAGACTGTCCAGAATTCGAAATGATCTCCAGAATACAGAGATCAGTTACCCTGTAGAAAATGTCTGCTCTGGAAGATGATGGACTCTGTGACACTATACCACAGTGAGGTCCCTCCCTTTCCCAAACCCCACCGTTCTGAGGCTCCACCCCTAATTTGTAGGAATTTCCTGACCCAGAATTGGTAATCCTAGTTTCAAAGGCAGTTGTAGGGGATTTCCCCCCCCCCATAGAAGTCCAACGCCTGCTTATGTTTGTGGAACCATGTACGCAATTCTTTGTATCTACTTTGCGTTTGGTAGAAAATGTTTATCCTGTTGCATTTCTAAGACAATAACATATACAGTTTTTTCGGCTGCTACCTCAAGATTGCTAAAGTCGCACTTATTCATTAAAAGCCTGTAGTTTTCAAGATGCTACTGAGTGCAGCAAATAAAGTCGACAGCCCCTAAAAATCAATGCACTATTTTTAGTACCTGCTGTTTTTCTCCCTTCCTTTGCCCAGTTTTGGACAAAGATAACAGCTACACAGAAGCGTTGTAAGAGATATAGGTATTCATCCCTCATGGAAGTTATCCAAGAAAATAATTTAAAGAAAAGCAACCATGACATCTAATACTCTTCTCATTTTCGTGACTTCACAGACTAAGCAGATACAGAAAGGTATGACTTTCTAGTAACATAATTAGTCATTAATTTACCCCATTCAAAACCACTCTTATCAACTATGTCACACATTGCCAAAATGCACATCAAATGGTGCTAATATATATGACTAGTGAATGTGCAACTCTTTGCTTAAGAATAAGGGTTTCTTCCCCTAGCTATGATCTTGCAGTCTTATGGCTCCCTGGACTGGCACAATTGGACAGAGGAGGAAGACTTTTACAGACGAATCAATGATTTTTCTGTTTTAGAATTTGGAAGGAACTTTCTCTAAATCAGTTTGTCCATTTCCCCCTTTTGCATGTTGTTTTGCTGCTGAATTCTCAAGAACTACCTTATCAGCTATTTTAATAGGTCTATCGGAATTGGGCCTTTGGGCAGAGAGATATAATTAAGAAAGAATCTTGTAAGTATGGGTTGTAACTGATGGCATTTGGGTCCTTTACAATTTTAGGACTATATGACAGGGCTCTCCAAACATGCACCAGACTCTATACTTGTAATACAGTTAAGTAAACAAAGCTCAAAGACCTTTGAATTACTTTACGAATATCCTGATCCAAGTAAGTGTTCAGGGCAGGACATACAAATTAGCCCAGAAGTGCAATGTCACCAGCCATGATGTCACACTGTCATGAAAATGATAGCATACAAGGGCGAAGCAGTTATGTTGGCCCAAACTTTTAAGACTGGGGGCCAAGTGTGTAGGGTTGCCAGGTGTTACCTGGCTTCCAGTGGGGGGCTCCCAGGTCCATTCCTGGATCTTCCGGCACGCGCATGAAGTGAGCACACTGCACAATGACATCACCCAGAAGTGACATCATCATGCCAGGCACGTTGCACAGTGACGTTCTAGCATTTTGGTCAAAACTTTATGGTAACCAGAGTTTTGATCAAAATGCTAGAGCATTGCCTTCTGGATGACATCATCATGCCAACAATGTTGATGCAGAAGGGGGCTGTTTGGGGGTGGGGCTTCCCCCTCTCACCAGATGACCAGCAGCAGATTAGAGCCCTCGAAATAGGAGGAACCCCCACTCTGACAAGGGGGTTGGCAACCCTACAAGTGTGTAATCAAACATAGCCAATGATAAAGACCACAGTGGCCTCCTAGAGGTGATGAATCTGTTGATAATGCAGTTCTGATCAGTTACTATCCTTCTGTTGGTCAGTGGCTGAGCAGAGTGTAATAGCACTGTAAATCCAGAATGTCCCCTGACCTTGGGAGGTGGTTTTTCAAGGGGTGTAGCAGATCCTCATAAACACACAGCTCTTTGAATCCCAGGCAACATTTTTCAGTATTCACATAAGGGTGCATAACAATGGGAGGGGGGGATCATTTCTTCTGGAAGACAACTTTGACTAACCTTTCACAGTTAAAACATGAAAAAACATTAGAGGCGTAATAGCACCATCATCATAAAAATCTGCATATTACTATACAACTTTGTATGAGCATGATCGGGCACAATAAAGCAAAAAACAAATTCAGGGATAGAAAAAAACAAGAAGGAATCACACTTCTTGGGTTTCTTTGGGTAAGAGAAAAATAATCAAGCACTGACCTTGAATTGTCCTCTTGAAGAAAGCCTTGCAGGCCTCACATGAAGCCACCCCATAGTGGTACCCTGACGCAATGTCACCACACACCAAACACAGTCTTTTGGGCATTGAGTTCAGCATGTATTCACACTTGGTTTGTGAATCTTCAGCAATGGTACTGGAGCAGTCATCGTATCGTTTCCTGACGGGCCCGTTACCCCCAAGACCCGGGGCAGAAGGGTAGAGTGGTGGTGAATCTAGCCCATTCTGGTGTCCATTCATGGTTGAACTGTAGCTCCCACTGGCGTCAGAGGAGCCACCAGGGCTGTGGTGATTGATGCTGTCCGTCAAGGAAGCGGGGCTCGATGGTTCCGTCTTGATATATGACGAACAGCTAGAATCAATGTGTCGATCCTTGCTTGACATTCTGCAGAGAAGCCTGCATTGTAAAAGGAGTGAAAAAGAAGTTTCTGTGCATTAAAAACAATGCTCTTTAAAGGCAGCACTGCAAGGCTAAGGCCCGTACATCATTCATTCATTAGTCAATACCTCTTGTTCTACATGAAGGTAATCAGCATAAGGGCATGACAGAGCTTTATTAAGGCTTCAGACAGGCAGTAAACAAAAACTTTAAAGAGACTGGATCTATTTTACTCAATGCTCCCTCCTCTACATCCCCACCAATTTCTCTTAAATCAACTCTCTAAATTCTAAAGTTATCATTATGGAAGACACTGAATTCCCTCACCTGGAGGTTCCCTTCCCTGTTCCCCCACACCTTTTGAACCGGGGGATATTTTTGTCTATAGTTACTGTTTGTCAGCCTGTTTTGTTAGAGCACTACCTGCCTCCACTATTGCTTGGGTCCCAAAATTAAGGGGTAAGTCTCACATTAATTATAAAATTATTTTAAAAAATTAAAAAATTAAAAATAGATGAAATGTGTCCCTACAAATAATTAAAGCGTGACTTCAGTTTTACAAAATCTATGTGGAATGGTTCATTAGCTTTGATTACAAATGCTTTTTAGCAAATGTTCTCAAATTAACTAATACTGGACATACAAGCATCCCTAAAATTTTGTTCCGAGGGGTAAACCAGGCTCTTAGGAACAGTATGAGGTAAATATACGGGTCTGCAGTGCGAGGGGGAAATCAGTAGAAATCACCACCCTGTCCCCCAAAAACAGAAATGCCATTCTTTTGGATGAACTTCACATGACAGGATGCTAAGTTTTCAAAAGTAGAGTGTGTAAAGTTGGTGTACAGTAGCACCTTAAAGACTAATGTGAAAGTTTATGCTGGAATAAATTTTGTTAGTCAGTGTCACAGGACACCAGTTTTATTTTGCTGCTACAGACTAACATGGCTACTGACTAACATGCCTAAATATTGACCAATATTATATGCCTTGGAGAGACACAATAATGAACAGCATGTTATGTAAAAGCTTTCACAGCCTTCCTAAAATACTAGGCATTATATGGAGGCAAACCAAAGTAATTCTATCAACTGTAGACAGCTTTCTGACAAGCCACATTCCTGTTTGATATGCATTTTTTTACATTTACTTCAAAACTTAAAGGCCATACAGCATAAATTTAAATAACAGTGTTTGAAGTGCCCCATTCTCCATACATACACATAGCCAGTAGTGAATTTTAACCAGATATTCATATTTTCAGTGCTGTTACTCAGTTAAGATTTTAGCCAATTAGCTGTCTACTGTTAGCAGATTACTCAACTAATTAAATCATTTCTATTTACATATTGTAACATTTTAGTAAATGTGGTTTTCAGAATCATGACTGACATTGATCTTAAGTATGATGTTAAAAAAAGTCAAATGTAGGACAAAATAGTGTTTTGGCTATCCTAGGTTTGCAAATATAATAAACTGTTTCTGTGATAAAGCTGAAAGGTTCTATTTTCTCAGTTAGCCAGTGGCTTTCAGCCATAATATTCAACACAAAGTTTACTAATTACACTAATACGAGAATGAAACCCTTTCAGCATTACTAGCAATTCTCCTAATAAAACTGGCATTTTTTCAAAAAAAGCTTTACATGGTTATTCACACATAATCAGTTAAAATCTACAGACCTAAATTAATGTTGCCAACAGGCCTGGAGAAAAAAAGTCCTGTCTCTTTAATAGAGGCTTAATGAGCTGTTATTTATCAGGTGATGTTATTTAAATCCATGCCATTAAACTTTCAACTGTCCATTTCTACACATTAAGCCCCAGTTAAAGGGAAATGATAAGCCTGTTCCCTATATAGGCCCTCCGTGAAAAACTGAATTATAGAAACTCATCCAAAATTTGTGAAACAATATTAAAATATTAAAACAATATTAGAAAACAGCAAGTAACTCACAAAAGCTCATACCCTGCCACAAATATGGTTAGTCTTTAATGTGCTCCTGGACTCTTGCTCTTTTCCACTGCTACAGACAAACACCACTACCCACCTTGACATATAACATTATGTTTGAACTCCCTTACATAAAATTTACTTTACAATGCAGTTATAACTAGAATACCTAGGTTCCTACAGCCAAATGCTTTAAGATATTAATCTTTATCTAATGAGTTTTTAGCAAAACAACTGACATTTATGTAACAGGACTAGATATTCAAGTGTTAAATAGAATAGTTCTAAACCTATATCCAGGCTTTTAAAGAGCAGGAAAAAAGTTCCATCTTGTTACTACAGCTGTAATGGTATTATTTTGCGGCAAGTTTTTTCCCCTCTTCTCATAACACTAGAACTCAGACAAACCTAATGAAGGTGATGGTCAATAGCAGTGGCATACCAAGGGTGGAGCAGTAGGGGCGATCTGCCCCGAGTGCAGGCGACAAGGGGGTCCATGCCGGTCTGGATCCTCTGCCCACCAAGAGGCGGAGCTGGTGCAAGTGAATCCCGGTGCCCAGCTCTTGAGGAGGTGGCAGCAGCCAGCCCAGCCTGGCACTCACCTCCCTCCTGGCTCTGCATAGGCTGTTCTTGCTTTTTAGGGGTGCCTGTCCTCAACCTGCAATCGAGCCCAAGAGAGAGAAGCTGAGGAGGGGGCAGGGCGACCCCCCTTGCTTCCATCCGCAGTTTGCCTTCAGCAGCTGTAATGCTCATTGACTGCCAAAGCACACCCCTCCCAAGTCCCCTAGAACCAAACCAGGGTCGGCTTCTCCATATCCCTCTGAGCAGCACTTGCTGGCTTCTGGGCTCCTGCCCGGCAGGAGCTTCCTTAGCGAATGCTTTTGTAGGATGGTACAGGGAGAAAAAGGGGAGAAAGAGGGAAGGGTAACAGTTGCAAACTGAAGAGACAGAGTGAAAAGGAAACAGGAGAAAGCTAGACCAGACCTGGTCAAAGTAGCACTGTTGGTTCCCGCCAAAGGCTGCTGTTAGGGTTGGATGCGCCATGCAAGGAGTGCCAAGGCACAAGGGTGTGCTGTGCAAGAAGTGCTAAGGCACTGGGCCACTAGGCGGCTCAAGCAAAGAGGTTCCTCCACTTCTCTGGGTGGAAAGGAGCCTGGGGGAGCAGGAGCGATGGGTGGCTTTGCAGAGGAGCAGGTGACGAAGAATGCTATGACTGAGCCTCTGCCTACACTCTTGGAGGATGAAATGGGAGGGGCAAATTTTTTGCTTTCCCACCAGCTGCAGAGTTTGGCAACTCCCTGCTGTTTTCTTATCTCAACTGGGCAGCAGCCTTCCCAACCTTCTTTGAGTGGCCTGCTCCTGGGTTTGTGTTGCGCTGGCTATTCTGTCAGGCCGAAGTTCAAACTGGCCATTCCAGGGAGCACTGAGTGACTCACTGGGGAAGAAGTTCGATGTGCAGCCTAACAGGGTTATGGAATGCAGCCTCCTGTCCCTTTAACAGAGGTTTAATGGCAACAGACAGTGGAGGTTTTCCAAGGTACTTCTTTAAATAACATCACCTGGTATTTCCTGCAGACCCAACTGATATTAAAATGACAGCCAGAGGAACAATTTAAAAGTTGGTAATTCTAATTATGCCCATGTTAAGGACTGTGTTGGAATGCTAGTAGCCATCAAAATCATGGACACTTAATGCATTTGCAAATTTGTACTAGGATTAAGTTATATGGAAAAGAAACTGCAGTTCTAAAAGTTTAACCTGTAAGTACCACTATTTTGTTTCCCATGTAAGGCCTTCTAGTACAACTGAAGGATTTTATCAGGCTGAGGAGTTGTACTCTCCCTCCCATAGCAGACCTTGCTTTCCAGTTGTCCTATAGGTATGTGTATTTTAATTCCAATCAAAGCCTTGTCCGTTAGTAGGGAGCTTGCTATCAGCATAAAATTTGGCTGTAAGAGGACAAATTCCTGATAGAATTGAAGAGGGAGAAGCTTAGCATATTATATATTGCCATGCTCAGAGGCAGTATGCTGCAGAGGCGGGGTGAAAATGGCGTCATTCCTTCCTCCTCCTGGACTAACACCAGTTCAGAAGGGGTGTGGGGGTGCTTCTTACAGTGGTGTTCAGCTCAGCTTCCTTCCCTGCTGGGAAGAGGATAAGCTCCGTGGATCTTTCTTGGACTTTTCCCCGAAGCACCCTGGGGGTGGGGAGAGCTTTTGACAGCCCTGCCCACAACCCAAGGTTCCCCAAGTCACTTTTGTTGTATAGAGGGGTGTGTGTTAAAAAATGATCTGCTCTGGGTGTCAAATACACTAGGTATTCCACTGGCCAATAGGTTCAGGACAGACAAAACTAAATACTTCTTTACTCACTGAGCAATTAAATGGTGGAATTCACTGCTAGTGGATGTAGTGATGGCCATGAGAACAGACGACTTAAAAAGGGGGTTAGACAGATTCATGCAGGAGTGGTTCATCAGTGGATATTAGCCATACTGAGTAACGGGAACCTCTGCATATAGAAAGAGAGCAAACCTCGGAATACCACTGGTCGGGGACAGCACCAGGGGAAGGTCTTGATTTCTATGCTCTCCCCCCCCTCCCGGTTATCCAGGGCAACTATGTGGGCTGCTGTATGAAAGAGGAGCTGGACTAGATGGACCACTAACATGGCTCTTCTTATATTCTACCCATTGTCTTCAAGGCATGTCTACTAAGTTGAACAATGACCAATTTAGAGTAAGCTTTTCAATTTCTGCCACCCTGCATATCTCAAGGAGAAGCAAGTTTAAATAAAAAACATAATAAAACAGTATACTTACTTTAGTGTTTATAAGACAGAAAATGAAATTACCCACACATATTGGCATGCAGCATACTTAACCCTGGCCCTCAGAGCCATGCGACACAAGGAAGTTTTATAATGCCTCAAGAAAGCAGAAAGTGAGACTTTGCAGCCACTGACCACATCTCTTTACATACCCTTGCTGCCTGAATAGCCAATTGCTTTGGATACCTGATTGTATGGTCCTACCCTCATGAACTTTCCAGCCTTCTTTTCCTCTC